TTATATATTTTGCACTCTTTGTCAATCATGCATGGATATATTTAGAATTATACAATAATAGAATTAGAATTAGAAGGCTGATTTGACTTTCTGGGGAGGGGGCAATGCATACCTTCGTAAATAGATAAAGATCTAGGAATTTATTTATTGGACTGCAATCAATGTTTAAAGCTTCTCATTATCCTTAAATCCTCTTTCTTCCTTCCATCAACAACTTATGGGATTTCAAGGGTTAAACATCTTTATTAATGTGTTCAGTCTACAGAATTTGCTGATTAATTTTTATATGACCCATCACTACATTCTCTTAGTAATTTGGTTTTCAACATGACATAAGACTGTCAACCTCTGCCCCTGCAAACAGTTTTGAAGTTCAACCAAGCCTATAGAGAATGCATTTTTTTTTATGTAAATAGTCTCTTTCTGCAAATTTAATACAGTAGATAAATTGACCAGTATTTTCATTTCAAGAAGAGACAACTAATCGATTGCCACTGCACTGCAACTTCTACATGCTTTTTCCTAATCAATTCCTCTATTCTTTATCTTTTCTTATTTAAATTCTTTGAAGTAGAATGATGCTTTTTCCTAGCTCAATCATGAATACCTTTAGAAGTTGGTAGGTCAAAGGTCTGAGCAAGAGAAGAAAAGTCCAAGGGAATATATTTCTTTTTCCCATGAAATGGTTAATTTGGGTGAGGAAAATTCATGCATCTTCAATTATTCTAGCTCAAAACACTTTACAAGGAGTCAGATGGCTGATTTAGCTCAAAACACTTTAACAGATAAAGCTTTATTCATTTATTTCTTTTTTCTGCATGTGCCGGAACATAGCTATTGCTTCTGATTTTCTGTTTTTTAATCGAGGTATTTAAAACCGGGCCGGACAGGGAACTGTTCTGGGTCTGGTTCCTGGGTCAAATGTTCCGACTGTCCGGTCTGAACAGATGGTCCGCTCTGACAAAAAATAAAAAATTGAAAAAAAAGGCTAAAAACCGTTGTCCAAGTCGATGGTTCGATCACTCGGATCAACGGTTTACTGACCAAATTAATAGTTTTTGGCCAAAAAGCAATTTTGGGGTAAAATGGAACCAGTCAGGTAACCAATTCCTGGTTTTTCCAGTCCAGCCAGTTTTGAAAACACTGTTTTTTATGAAATGTAAGAATTATGCCATTTTAGAGGAACTTGTAGATTTCTACATGTATATATGTAGACACTTAAAATGTATAGCAAAACACTTTTACTGTGGTTTCTTGGGACCAGACTGGCAGCATTAAGTGTTTTTTAGAGGTTATACTGAGACCCTTATAGTCTGATATTATATTTCCAGACTACCATCTCTTCTCAATTCTAGTAATCCCTTCTTCTATACTACATTGCTCTCCTATTGCATTCTATGCAGACAAGTAAGAAGGCTATTAATCTGGTGTAACCTGTAAGCACCAAACTAGATGGATATGGATTTATCTTTAATTAGCCTGGGATTGAAATTACCAGAATACTGAATGTATCAAAAGAGATCTGTTTGATAGAGTTCAAACATAGGATAAAAATGTATTTTTAAACCTATAATTAGAAATCTGTTTGGAAGCTGCAGAGCATTTACCAATGCCTATTTCTAGCCTCAGCTTCTGATTAGCTATCAGACAGAACAGTTAAACTATTAGATACACTGGCTAACTGTGCGAATTAGCAGGATCAGTGGCACAAAAGGTTACTGGCTATTCCATTAGCACTTTTGCAAGATATCAAAGTAAGGCATGAGATTACTGGTTAGATAACTTCATTTTCTTTTTCCTGTTAATTTCTATGTTTTATCATAAATTCTTACTTTCCTATTGCTCATATTGGCTCCAATTGATTTTCCTTTCATCCAGTGATATGCTCATTGTCACAGTATATTATTTGTCACAAGTTTATCAATCATTGCCTAGTTCACTTAGATAGACCTTGGATTCAATTATCATGAAAAGGATGCTTTTACCTTATACCAATATTTATATAATGCTTCTCACCTCTGTTTTTTCTATGACACAAATAATTTAAATTGGTTTGTAACCATCAGATGGTACATAATTCAAATTCCAATTGCAATTGGAGAAGACTTTTTCTGCTTTTCTCATCTTTATCAATATAAATGATCTTGGATCTTGTAAAAAGCACAAATTAGATGACATCAAATTGTGGCTTTTGGAACCAGTACAATGAATCATTATTTGAATAGAAAAGTTGCACAAACTAACCTTGTAATATTATACCCATTGTTTTGATAGATGTGATACCTAGTTGCCTACATCTGCCAAAGCTAACTATGTGACAACTTGTGACAGGATGTGCAACACTAAACAGCCAAAGAGTAACTTCTTGTTGAGACCAAAATACACTGTTTGTTATCAAACGGTCATAGAAAAATGATCTACAAGATCATGAAGAAAAAGAGCCTCAAAAATAAAAATAAAATAGCAAAACCACAAGCCCAGAAGAGAACAGGAAAGAGGAAAAACAGTTCAACCCAGTATCCATTCTGAGTAGGAGAGGGCAACAAGCACAAGGAAACATGACACATTTTGAACCATATATTAATATATTGTGATAATTTACATATTAAATTACTCAATTTGATGAATAAAGATAATATAAGTTTTAAATTATATATTATCATTATTAAAAATTAAATTTTTAAAGAACATGTTTCATTTTTTTTTTATTTGAAGGGGAAGAGAAAAAAAAGAATAGGTTTCATGAGTAGACTCTAAAACTGACCTTGTAACTGCCAAGGCCAAAACCAACCCTGAAGCCAGCCTTCACAAGGTAGATTCCAGTTTCAAAAACCTAAAATCGATCCTTACAAGGTAGGTTCCAAGTTCTGCGATGGAACCAAACTGAACTGACCCATGCTCATCCCTAATACTAAGATCACATTCCTCAAATGGAAATGTCGTGTAAAATATGGTGGAGGTTAGATCACAAAAAAAACTGTCCAGTAAATTTTTCTAGATCAAACTTATAAACCAAAAGGCCTGTACAGCCAATATGATGGTCATTTAAACATCTATATAAAATTTCTCAGAAGTAAATAACAACATGGACAACTGAATTCCTAATAATGACTTATTTACTTGGATGACGACTATAAACACGGCATGCTTTTCAAATCCAAACAAACTTCTATCCGGTCAGTTCAAGAATAATTATTGCAATCTCTTTTGTAAATGTCAAGAATGATAAACAGGCAGAATCCCACTTATAACAGAAGAGGAAAGGAAAAAGTTGGACCGATAAGAAATCATTCATTGCCATTAACTCATCAATCATAATCTATAATGTATTGGCTGATATTGTACGATACCCAGAAAAACAGTGCGAGACCAATACAAAGGAGTCTGGCTCCTCATAGAGCGCATATCACACCGAATGTAATATCCAAATTTAAATAAGACCATATTATATTGAAATAACAAATTTTGGGGAAATCAACTTATTTGCAAAGAAGACATTACATCTCCACTACTCCAGCACATTATGTTAATTTGGATCCTTGTTACAATGCGTTATTTGTCATGGCAAACAAGTTGATGATTTGATGTGTAAAATTTATTATATAGTTTTTATGCATACTAGCCTCTAGTACGGGAATCACATGTCAATTATAACTTTATAATATATTTTTGGGAAAATTTTCGATCAGTACCCTGTACTTTGGCTCGAGTGACAATCTAGTCCCCAAACTTTAAAATGTGACAATCCAATACCTGAACTTTCAAAATGTGGCAATCCAGTACCCGAACTTCCAAAATGTGATAATCCAGTATCTACCATTAACCAGTCTGTTAATCAGTCATTAAGTGACATTTGAAAAGTCAAAAATGCCCTTCAAATTCTCTTTATCAACCGTCCAAACGTTGACATAAAAACTGAAGTCCCAAACCCTAGCCTCTTCTATTCAAAAAAAGTTGGTAACTATTTAGAAGAATGTAGAATCTAGGACTGTTCATTTTATTGTCAATGTTTGGATGGTTAATAAAGAGAATTAGATGGCATTCTTAAGACATTTTTGACTTTTCAAATGTCACTTAAAGACTGATTAACAGACTGGTTAACAACAGATACTGGATTATCACATTTCAAAAGTTCGGGTAATAAATTGTCGCATTTTAAAGTTCGGAGACTAAATTATCGCTCAAGCCAAAGTACAGCGTACTGGTCAGGATTTTCCCTATACTTTTCTATTTAATATTTTAATGCATAGGTATGTACATAGTATATTAAGCATATACGCATGTTTCCCAATTGTATCCCAAAAGCTACAAAACTCTAGGCCATGTTTCCCCTGTCTTTTCCTTCCTTTCCCTACCCTTTCCTTCAAACCAAACATAGCCTTAATGATAAAGATATGCTTGGAACCTTGGTTGAGATTCGAAGACCAGAATTTGAATCTGATAGTATTCCGAGTTCTCTTAAGGTTGCATCCTACACATCACGGAAAAATATTATCCGAATAATGCAATTCCCATATAGGCAGTTCAGATTCTATGGCAAATGACAACAAATAATGGTACGTTGCTACAATCAAGGTTCAAAATATCGATATGCCCAATACGCTGGTATGGGCGTATTGGGCATTTCGATACTTGTTTTTTTACCTTTTTATTTTTTTTTTCAAAACTGGTTCAGGGGAGCGGGTCTAGGACCCCTCCATCCCCTGAACTGGTCAGACCACCGATACACCCACTGTAGGGGTGTATCGAAAGGGTCCCGGAACGATACGTATCGGCTGATACGGGCCGATAGATAACGATGCTTTGAACCTTGGCTACAATAAAGAGAAAAACATTTTAGTGTTTTCTTCTCAAGCATTAAACAGTTTCTAGCATCTACACTTGACAATGTTAAGACTGCAAATCATATCCAATAACTTGGGTTTAACCTTTTGTAGATATAGTGGCTTCATCTACAGACTTGTTAGTGTGGCTCAGGAGTGAAGGAAAATAGAATTTAATAGAACAAATGAAAGTGTGATACAACTCACACTGAAGTCTGAAATATATAATTAGGAAAATCATTCTACAGATGCCAATTGGCCTCAGAAGTATCAAAATAAATACAGGTATCGGATTTTAGGTAATTGTCAAAAACTGTACAGTATACATTAATTCAACTTCCGCTAGTTCTCTTCTCGTATAGGCATACTTGCTTTCCTCATTGTGATGCACATAAAGGTTATACAATCCCATTTGTTAAATTAAGGGTGAGGAGTAAAGGAGACAACCCATACAAGATTTTTTTGGACTGCTCCCAGATCAATGCAAGTGGAGGAAATCAATGTTGTCCAAGTGAAAAGAAAAAAAATCTGCAAAACGTGAAGTTTGTCAGCCACAAGAACATCTAAAGAAAAAGAAATCAATGTTGTCCAACTCAAAGGCTTCCTGATAAAAGACCTACAAGGTTGTAATTTTATGGTACATTTGATGGTGTAAATGCAGGTATATTCTCAGCTAACTGCAACAGAAATCAAGTCTAGTGAGTGTAATCATGAAGAAAAATACTTGTCATCTAGTTTTCAACAGAAGACAAGATTAAAAATCACTGACAACTGTAAATTAAAACAATGGAATCCTAAATCAAACTGCTATTTCTATAAACCATTTGGAACTGTTCTTACATATTGCACATTACCCGGGGTAGCTACAAATGATCCAGGTATTAATTAAATCAATATTATCATATACTCTGATCAGCGCTTACCCTCCCCCAACCAGACAATAAAAAGAAAGAAATAGAGTTTCCGTAAAAAGCATGAAGTTTGTATTTTGTTTCTGTCAAAAATCCTCAGAACAAACTTACAAGTTTCACCATAAAATTTCCAGTTGAAAACGACTGCGGATCTCCTGCCCACAAGAACTCTACCAACATCTACCCACAACACTACCCCCGTGCATTTGGAACATCTCCCCGTGCATAATACTATGTAGGAGGATGAAATGTTCTCATGTGTGGCAGCGATGTTATGTGAGTAGACATGGGCAGAGTTATTGTGGGCAGGAGATCCAGACTCATTGAAGAATGTAATGGAGCAGGTAAGAAATCCATATTTGGCAGGTTTGAATCACCTAAAGAAATTCACTTCCTAATGAATTGGATATGAACCACGTTATATACATCCAAATATAATTTAGATCAGATTAGATCCTGGTGTAGATCTAGAATTCTTGAGGTTTGATCCATACAGTTGAAAGCGACTAAGGGATCTTAATAATAGAATCAAGCCTGACCAAGATCAGAACCTAATAAGGCCCATATCGAATCAGTTTGGAAACAGGATCTTCAGATCCAAGGTCTTTTATGCCCTAACACCAATCATGGTGACTGTTCACAGGAGAGGGTCCAGGTAAGCATGGATGATTGGCAGCAGTGGAAGTTTTAAAAGGGAAATAGGTCCTGAATAGGGACCATGAAAGATAGGGGGACTGCAGAAAACACTACCATAACAAGCAAGTAAATCTCATGACACCTGTCATTTACATACATTTCATTTAGTAAATAACTTCTTTTGACAATAGATATGACACCTCATCACTTGTAACTTTCTTAGGAATTGCTTTCAAAGCAATTAATTTCTTGCCTTTTTAACCTACTAAAAAAACTAATTAATAAAAGAAAATATAACAGTTTTAATATAACCAACAGAGTAATACCCAAACGGACTCAACCCCAACAAACTACAATCTAAGAAATATTACAAAAGAAAAACACCCCTGGTGTTTTATTTTGAAAGATTTGATCTCCCATTAAAATCTAAAATCGGAAGCTCAGATAGAATGAATTGCAACAAGATTGGAATGCTCAAGTGACCACTGGGGTTGTGGGCCCAACAAACCAATTTCCCCCTAAATCTAACCTCTACCCATGGTTCCGTATCCCCTTTCTTTTCATTTGCAAGACGCAATAAAATGGTAACCAAATTAGCCAAAAATTGGATTACAGTCACAACCTCTTGCCAAAAAAAAGGCACACACACATCACCAGAATATTTATATAACCTCCATCATCTCCAGTCTCCTGAAGACTAAATTGTGTTTCAATGTGAAGTACTTCTCATGAAATATACTAGCATTTATTTCATTAATAAGAATAAAATACAAAAGAAATCAAAGGTAAAACCATAGTTGTCAAGGCGACACCTAGGCAACAAGGCACCCTTGGAGGCTCACCTCACCCAGTAGCCAAGCAGTTTTGTATACTTCGTTACAAAATACTTTTATATTATTAACCTTTTGAGATTATAATTGTAAAATAGACATTATTTAACTAAAATATTCATTTTTTGTGTTTATAAATTAATTTCTTTTTATTATTTTCTTATCTGTTAGGATTTAATCAACACAAACATTGTTAATTGCAGTATTGAACCCTCAAAGACTTCAAAACCTGAACCAATAAGGGAAGAACTTAAAAATTTTTTTCCTATCAACACATTTCTTCTTCATATCTTCTTTCCATCTTTTCTTTTCTTCTTTTCCTATAACAAAAATAGGGGTTTCGGCCCCTATATTTTTTGAATTTTCTTTTCGTTCTTCTTTATCTTCTCATAAATATATTAATTTTCTAGACTTAAACATGAACATTATACTTTTCTTATGAAAATTATGGATAGTTATCAAGGAAAGATGGTTATGGGATATATGGTTTTTACTTGAAAAAATTCATTGCCTAGGCACCTGCCTAGGTGACTAGGTGACAAGGTGCCCCCTATTAACAAGCCCAGTGTTTTAAATCGCAAGGTGCAAAAAAGGCACAGGGGTCAATTTGCGCCTGAGGCGCAAGGCGCAAGGTGAGGCACACGCCTTTTTAAGCAAGGCGCAAAAATTAAAAAAGTGCTACAAATTCAAAAACAAATGCCAAAAAAAATCAAAAAATTATTAAACATAATATTGATAAAAATATAAACAAATTTTAAAATAAATGTTTTAAAAAACCTATTATCTAAAATTAAAATAAATAAACATAACATGTAAAGCATATTCAAATGAGAATTGAAAAATTAAATCAAGCATATAAAACATTTTCAAGCATGTAAAACCCACAATCTCTTTTTTTTCTCAATTACATTACTTCATGTAGCTAATGTGACATATTACATTCCTGATTCTACAAGCCGCTTTTGGTAATGTTGTTCATTCATTCATCCTAATAGAATATCTTCTTAAAATGTAATTAAAACTATAAAGTCATTATTTTTCTGTGAAAACTAAGAATTTAAGACCCTAACATGGACTTGTTTGGGCTTGCCTCGAGGGACGTCAAATTTTCAAAAGCCACGCACCTGATCTAAGGCACAAGGCACACCAAGCATGCGCCTTCGGAAGGGCTGCACCAAGGACCTGGGCAAGGCGCCTACCCTAAAACTCGCCTCGCCTGTGCACCTAGGTGTGCCTTTTAAATCACTGGACAAGCCTTGGCGCCTTGAAAACTATGGTTATAACTAAAAAATACATACAAGAGGTATAGTAATTTATTAATTCCCATGAATTACTCAGCAATCTTTTCTATATCAAACTCAGACCTTAAAAATTTAACAATCTCTTCCTTCACCCAGGCACACCAGGCATGTGCCTATTGGAAGGGCTACGCCTAGGACCTGGGCGAGGCACCTACCCTAAAATGCACCTCGCTTGCGCGCCTAGGCACACCTTTTAAATCATTGGACAAGCCTCACCTTGGCGCCTTGAAAACTATAGGTAAAACTAAAAAATACATACAAGAGGTATAGTAATCTATTAATTCCCATGAATTACTCAGCAATCTTTTCTATATCAAACTTAGACCTTAAAAATTTAATAATCTCTTCCTTCACTGAATCTTTTTTCTAGATTCATTCACCTCCATAGTTTTAAAGGCACCAAGGTGAGGCTAGGCGACAAGGGGGCGTCGGGCGCCTAGTAACCTAGGCGATGGATTTTTTTTAAGTAAAAACATGTATCCTAGGGTAGTTCCCTAGGTTCCATAATCATATTTCCTTAATAAATATCCATAATTTTCATAAGAAAAGTATAAACTTCATGTTAAAGTATAGAAAATCAACATATTCCAACATATTCATGAGAAGAAAAAGAAGAAAGAAAAGAAAATTCGAAAAATGTAGGGGTTTAACCCCTATTTCTGTTATAGGAAAAGAAGAAAAGAGAAGTGGTTCAATACAGCATTTAGCAATGTTTGTGTTGATTAGACCAAATGATACAATGCAAGCAAAAGTTCCTAGAYTCATGGAGATATAGAACAGCATATAAGTAATCATGCTTGCATATCCATCATTTGAGTCTCCAACAATTATTCCAATAATTACATATCYGATTTGACCTATGGAYGAATATGCAAGCATACGTTTCATGCTTGTTTGAGTAATAGCAATGAGATTCCCCAATATCATGCTAAGAATAGCTAGGATTTCCAGAAGAAGATCCCATTTGTTTGATGAGAAATAAAAAGGAATATCGAAAATTCGAGTGGATGAAGCTGAAGAAAATAACAAAAAGAAATTAGTATATAAACACACAAAATGAATATTTTAGTTTAAAAATGTCAATTTTTTAATTACAAAATAAAAAAATTAAGAATATAAAAGTTTGTTATAATACGCTATAGAAAATTACTTGGCAATTAGGCGAGGCGAGACTCCAAGGGTGTCTTGTCGCCTAGGCATGACCTTGACAACTATGTTCACCTCCAACATTCTATCCCCCACCCCCACGTTCGAACCTCTAAAAACGTTCTAAGCTTCGATTCCCATAAAATTTGACTTGAATGATACAACAAAAAATTCTAATGATTTCTTGTTAGACAACTAAAAGCAATAACGACACTGGAAATATAAAAAATAGCAAATATACTAGTCCATTGAATCATATAATTGTTAGCAATATCAAAGATGAAGACATTTTTTCTTGTTCTTTTCCCCATAGATGGGAGGTTGGGTTGTTGAACATTTCTCACTATTTCTTAGACAATCAAGAAAATATCATATGGAAAAGTTGATTGTTTATAGTAGAAATTTGTAGAAACAAAAATTATAGAGAAAGATTAAGAAAAGAAAAGGTTTTGTGATAAAAGAGAAGAACAAAGAGAAAAAAATGGAGAAAAGAATGAGAGAGCAATCAGATCTGGATACCCCCCTCCCCTTTGTTATTTATACTTTAAGTAAAAAATATGCACAAAGATACCAATATGCCCTTGTAGGGTGGCTAACACAAGAAAACTCTAAAAGAATTAAAAACATCACTCGGTCCCAACAAGTGTACTGTCATCCCCACTCCCCAACTAAACAAATAATAAACAAATTAACCAACGAACCTGCACAAATTCCTCAACAGTCCCCCTCAAATTGGGAGTAAAAGTCAAATATCCCCTAGCTTACGTAGGTCATGTTCAAACTTGTTCTTTGTGACCCCTTTGGTGAAGACATCAGCCAACTGTAACTTAGTGGTGACATAAGGCAAGATGAC